GTTAACCCTATGGTGATTGACCCCTCGACCTCATTATTTTGACCTATATTAAGTCATATCATCATCGAAGCAACTGCAGGATGCTGTGTGTGTGTGTGTGCGCGCGCGTGTGTGTGTGTGTGTGTGTGTGTGTGTGTGTGTGTGTGTGTGTGTGTGTGTGTAAAGGTATGTCACGTCGCTCACAGGACCTCTCAAGGTTAGAATGTCACAGCCGGGCCCTCAGATACAGCGTAATGTGTAAGCAGCCACACACACACACACACACACACACACACACACACACACACACACACACACACGGGGCGGTAACAGCAGAACACGGGCCCATTACAGTAAATACAGTACATTACAGTATATGGCAGCACAAGGATTAGGTCTTTTCAATCCTAGTTTAGAATAATCTCTCTCGACCAATCCTAGCTTAATCCTAACCTAACCTAACCTAACCTAACCTAACCTTAATTTCACCCAAAACATTATAGCCTAATTCTGATCCAACCAAATCCTAGCTTAACTCTGACCCAGCCCATCCTAGCTTAACCCTGACCCAGCCCATCCTAGCTTAACTCTGACAGCCATCTGATAACCTATTGGCCATCCTATTAACCTATTGTCCATCTAAATATCATTAATACATCCTAAACAACTGTTAGCCATCCTAAGCAACTCTGACCTAGCCCATCTAGCTTAACTCTGTTGGCCATCCTAAACAACCTATTGGCCATCCTGAAGCAACTCTGACCAGCCCATCCCTAAGCAACCCTGTGTTAGCCCATCAGCCTTCTGTTCCCAGCTTAACCCTGACCCACCCCATCCTAGCTTAACCCTGACCCAGCCCATCCTAGCTTAACCCTGACCCAGCCCATCCTAGCTTAACCCTGACCCAGCCCATCCTAGCTTAACCCTGACCCAGCCCATCCTAGCCAGCCTCTCCAGAAATAGTGCTGGGGAAATGTGGGGAAACCCGTATCCTAATCAATAAAACTTGACCTTTCTTGAACTCTCCTTGAAGACAGTACTGTACACTCCAACCTTACGTACACTTACCCTATGTACATCTGTCGTCCCTATGTACACTTACTTATGTATACTTATCCTATGTATACTTATCCTATGTATACCTATCCTACTTATGTACACTTATCCTATCTATGTACACCTATCATCACTAGGTACGCATATCCTACCTCTGTACACCTATCCTCTCCCTATGTACACTTATCCTCCCTATGTACACCTATCCTCACTAGGTACGTATATCCTACCTCTGTACACCTATCATCTTCCAATGTACACTTATCGTTCCATCCTTCGCCTTCTACAGGATGTAAGAGGGGTGCTCAATAAACTAGCTCTATCCCCAGTGCTTGCTTAGGGGAGTAAATTTAAATCTGAAATCTGAGTAAGTTATGAGAGAGAGCTGAACCAGTATTGTGTAAGAATTTTTTCCTTTGCGTTTAGCTGCCCAGCGTCTGCCATTCTTGACTGACTGACTGACTGATAAACTGACTGATTGACTGACTGACTGACTAACTGACTGGCTGAGTGACTGACAGACTGACTGATTCACTGACAGACTGACTGATTCACTGGCTGATTGACTGACTGACTGACTGACTAACTGACTGACTGACTGACTGACTAAATAACTGACTGATCAACAAAACGCGAGTGTGTGTGTGACCAGCTCCGTCTTAGCACAGACATGGATATTCACTCAAGACATTCTTCCTTGTACGTACACACACACACACACACACACACACACACACACACACTAAAATCACCCCACGACGAAGAATATGAATATTTTTGCATTTATTTTTCCCAGCAGTTGTTGTTATGGGGCCTGAACACTTCCAAGTATTTCCTGTGTATAAAAACCTTGAAGATCTCCTGAAGATTAGCCCCCCCTCATGCTACCTAGGGGGGGGGGTAGATTAGGGTTATGTTATAATAATAAATAATAATAATAATTAACGGTTTATTGAAAAAGTTCTGCAGCCCGAAGGCTGAAAATATACATTGGGCATAAATGACTTATTACATACATTGGTGGTTTAACAAAAGCCTTCATTAGAGAAAGGTGAAGGAACATAGTGAACATACAGATTAATGTAGGTGTTGAACAGCAAAAACGTAGTGTAGTAACTCCCTCCCAGATGGTGTTAGGAGGGACCTCACGTGGTGAAGTAGTTCCCTCACAGATGGTGTTATGAGGGGGCCTCCGTGGTGAAGTAATTCCCTCGCAGATGGTGTTATAGGGGCCTCACGTGGTGTCAGTAACTCCCTCCCAGATGGTGTTAGGGAGGGACCTCACGTGGTGTATTAGTTCCCTCAGATGGTGTTAGGAGGGACCTGACGTGGTGTAGTAATTCCCTCACCAGATGGTGTTATAGGGGCCTCACGTGGTGTAGTAATTCCCTCACAGATGGTGTTATGAAATTTCACGTGGTGTAGTAATTCCTCACAGATGGTGACACCTCAGTATGTAGTAATTCCCTCACAGATGGTGTTATGAGGGGCCTCACGTGGTGTAGTAATTCCCTCACAGATGGTGTTATGAGGGGCCTCACGTGGTGTAGTAATTCCCTCACAGATGGTGTTATGAGGGGCCTCGTGGTGTGTGAATTCCTTCACATATGGTGTTATGAGGGGCCTCACATGGTGTAGTAATTCCCTCACAGATGGTGTTATATGAGTGAGGTGTGGTTCCAGGCCTTCCTATCGTAGACGGATTAACACATCACTGGTAGTTGGGTCTCACAGGCCGTTATCACTGGGTACCTGGGACCTCACTGTGTGAAAGGTCAACTTGGGTACCACTGTTACTGTTGAGTTGTTCTCACTGACTTAAGCACTGTTCACCACTGTTCACCTCTGTTTAACACTGGTTCCATTTCTTTCCTAAATGAAATAGTAACTTCTGGTGTGAACTTGTTGATATTCCGGTGGGGAGGAGGGTTCAGGGGAGGGAGTTGGTATGGGCCAACATAACAGTTGACCTGGCTGCTCGGAGAGGAGCGCCAGGTACGTCTTGACCCTTCGGTGGTCAAGGATGTAGTGTTATGTTATTATGTTATGTTATTATGTTATGTTATGTTATATTAGGTTATGTCATGTTTGGTTGGTTTGTGTTAGCTTAGGTTAAATTGGGTTGGGTTAGGTTAAGTTAGGTTAGGTGCGAATAACGTATTACCCAGCTGCATATATGAATAATTGCACCTAACCTAACCTAACTTATACATTAGAAATACTGATAAAAAAATCACAAATTATATCATAAAGTACAATAATTTTCCCGGGTTTTCCCTGTTGTCTTGAAATATCGGGAACCAATCAGACTTACAGCTTGACCTCTTGTTTGACCTGACCTTCTGTGATTATCAGGTGTTTGGAAAGGTCAAAGGAGTGAGTAGGCTTTAGTTAATGTAATAAGTTAGGTAGACGTGAAGGTCAACATGGCGTGAGGAACAGCTGGATACACGTGAAGACAGAGAGTGTCATAGTGGTGTTACAATACCGAAAACAATACGCCTCCCCCCACATGCATTTACTGTTCCAGCCACTCACAGCCATTACAAATGTTTCCTAGTGTGTGATTGGTTATTGCAAAGCCCTCTCAGTTTTTCCTCCCAGTAAAAACAAGATCAATACAAATTACATCAATTTTTTTCCCTGTTGATACAAAGCCAATTGACAATTTTTTTCTCCATAGTATGAACAACGGCAACTATTAATTGCTGACAGTTTCTCTTCCCAGTACATGTATGAATGATAATCCACTTTCGATTCCCAGTATGGACTACGACACCATAACGCTATATTAATAAAAAACAGACAGCCAGCCAGCCAGACAGACAGATAGACAGACATGCAAACAGACAGACAGACAGAAAGACAGCCAGCCAGACAGACAGATAGACAGACATGCAAACAGACAGACAGACAGACAGAAAGACAGATAGACAGACATGCAAACAGAAAGACAGAAAGACAGATAGACAGACATGCAAACAGACAGACAGAAAGACAGATAGACAGACATGCAAACAGACAGACAGACATGCAAACAGAAAGACAGATAGACAGACATGAAAACAGACAGCCAGCCAGCCAGACAGACAGATAGACAGACATGCAAACAGACAGACAGACAGAAAGACAGCCAGCCAGACAGACAGATAGACAGACATGCAAACAGACAGACAGACAGACAGAAAGACAGATAGACAGACATGCAAACAGAAAGACAGAAAGACAGATAGACAGACATGCAAACAGACAGACAGAAAGACAGATAGACAGACATGCAAACAGACAGACAGACATGCAAACAGAAAGACAGATAGACAGACATGAAAACAGACAGACAGAAAGACAGATAGACAGACGATAGAAAGACGGATGAATGGACATGTAAACGAGCCAGACTGAAAGACAGACAGATAGACAGACATACTGCCAAACAGGAAAGGCAAGATAGACAGACATGTAAGAAACAGACAGGCAGAAAAGACAGATAGACAGACATGCAAACAGAAAGACAGATAGACAGACATGTAAACAGACAGACAGAAAGACAGATAGACAGACATGCAAACAGAAAGACAGATAGACAGACATGTAAACAGACAGACAGACAGACAGACAGACATGTAAACAGACAGACGCATTACTGAGGAACAAGGACACGCTACGTAAGCGAATAAATTACTGAATGAAAGAAAACAAATTGAACGATGGAAAGAAATTATTGAATGAAGATTATTATTATGTTTACTTCACCTGATGAGACGGGGTCAAGTAAACAACTAAACAAACAAACAAACAAAAACAAGCAATACAATAAGATAACCACACACACACACACACAAACACACACACACACACACAAACACACACACACACACACACGCACACATCCGGTCGGGAATACCACTCAGATGAGGGAGGAGCCGACATCCCCGACAGGCGCCACTATATAAGACCAAGTTACCTGCATCAGTCCCACAGTCACACGCAGGACTTACGACCACAACAACGCCAAGACCAACCACGTGATAACCTCAAGTCCAACCACGTGATAACCCCAAGTCTAACCACGTCACCATAACAAGTCCAACGTCCCGACCTCAACGTCTTAAGTCTAGCTAAGCCACATAGAAAAAGTCCGGTTAGATGTATGGAATGAAGCTGTCAGTAGTGGTGATGGTGTTGGCGGCTGTTGCTAGGGAGTCAGAGGCTGCTGTCTTCGGTGTGGGTAAGTTATCTAGCCTTTGTTGATGATAGATAGATAAATGGATGGATAAAGTTGATAGATAGATAGATATAGACAGATAGATAGATAAGTAGATAGATAATGACAGATAGATAGATAAGTAGATAGATAGACAGGATTACTTTCTCTTTAACTTTAACGTTACAAAGGTACTCAAACTATCCAACCAGGAGCGAACTCGTAACAATGGTTTTAAATTAGACAAATTTAGATTTAGGCTCGAAATAGGTAAACACTGGTTTGGAAACAGAGTAGTGGATGAATGGAACAAGTTACCAAATATCATCATTAACTCGAATACGCTGGATAGCTTCAAACATAGGTTGGATGCTTATATGAGATATAGGGGTTGGGTGAAAACGGGACTGCCCAGTCTGGGCCAATAGGCCCGCTGCAGTTTCCTCCATTCTTATGTTCTTATGATTATGATGAATAATAATAATAATAATAAAAATAATAATAATAATAATAATAATACTAACAATAATAATAAAAATAATAATAATAATAATAATAATAATAATAATAATAAAAAATAATAATAATAAAAATAATAATAAAAATAATAATAATAATAATAATAATAATAATAGTTAAGTGTGACTGTAACAACGTGGTTAGTGGTTAAGAGTAGTGGGAGTGTATCAGCCAATAGGGAGACTCGTAGTCAGTGCCTAGAAAGTGACTTCACGACTACCTATTGTACATATCTTCCTACCCTTCCTTCATTTACCTCTCTCTCTCTCTCTTCCTCCTCCTCTTTCTTCTATCCTTTCTTTACCCCTTCATGTTTCTCCTCATCCTGCCTGTTTCATCTCCCTTCATCTTTCCTTCCTTCTACCCCTTCATCATCCCTTCCTCTCCTCCTCCTTGTATTTCCTCTTCATCTACCCCCCCCTCACTCTCTCTTTCTCTCCTCACTAGACACGCCCCTCTAAGCGTTTCTCTCCCTCCTCCAGGTAACATCATGGCACGCAGGTATCCCAAAAACCCCGAGTTCCACACTATGGAGGTCCCCGAAATGGCCACGGCGACCCCAGGCGTCGCCAACCTCCCCGGTACCGTCGTTTCACGCACTGGAAGCCGCCCCGTCGACACCAACCTCTCAGGCACACGCCCCGTCGACACCGCCCAGGGCCCCATTTACTACCCCGTTGGCCCTATCTCCTCTCGCCCCGGCAATAAAGCCGTTTATTTCCACTTGGGGAGTTATGGGCCCCGTCACCCCGTCCCTATCCTCGTCCGCGGCAAGCCAGTCAGGTGAGTTGTGTCCCAGGTGTGTTCTAGATTATATACGACCTAACCTAACCTAACCTAACTTAACCTAACCCCTCCAGGTGAAATAAATTAGTTTACTTAATCCTCAGGTGATACATTCTTTCATCTTTAGTTATGCGAAATATTTACATTACAAACCTTGTTAATAAGAACATTGTAAACAACAAATAGAGCATTTTTATTATTTTTTTTAGAAATATAAAATAACCAATAATGACGAATGGGTCTAGTGGGCGTGGCGTGGGGGAGTATTGGAACAATCCATCAACGCGGTGAACAATAATAACACAACACAACAGGGCAAGGAGGGGAGGGGGGCACACACACATGATGGATTATACCACAGCGACATATTAATACCACACCATGCCCAGCTGTGGTAGATGGATAGTATAGGGGAGAAGGGTATTACAAGCGGGTATTTATCGGTATTACAAGGGGGGGGTATTTATCCTCAATGGGCACGAGGGTATTCAGGCAATTTCAGTGACTTGTGAACAGTAAAGATATATTTTAATTGTTTGTTTTTCTCTCTCTTTTACAGCAGCAGGGGATACCCTCAACGATCTGGCTACTCATCCTACGGGAGAAGCCATTAAGAGATATTATGGTTTCTAGTTGTTTTCTACCTGGGCGACTCATGACCCGGTGTTCTTTATTGAGTGGGGATGTTGATTGTTTATTTTTGTTTATGGAATGAGTTTTATACCTCGTTGATTCTCTCTGTTTGTTGTTCTCTAAGAGGTCTTTAAGTTCTCTATTCAAGTGTTTCCGTCTATGGTGTTTAATAGCTTAATGTCTCTAGTTTTCTAAGGGACTAGTACCCAGTTTAACTCATGGTTTCTAAATGGTGTCTAAATAAGCACTGATGTTCTCTAGTTCTCTATCTGGATAACTGGAGGGACTACTTGTTAAGGGTTTCTACCTCTACAGAACCTCACTAGGGTGTTGTTCTCTAAGTGAAGTAATAGAAACCAATAACTCTGGCTCTCTACCTAAACCAAACCTAACAGTTCTCAGCATGAAGTGTCAGAAACCAAGGTCTCTAATGTTGGCTTACCTTTATGACGACCATCTGTTCTCTAGACGTGGGTTCTAAAGTTCTCTAATCCAAGTACTCCTCCAGCTTCATCGATGCAAATCACAGAGGTTTCCAAATGCTCTCTTCTTAAGCCAGCTGTTCTCTCGATGTGGGATCCTACGGTTTCTATGCCAAGAACTCCATCTTCGACGCTACCTTCCTGGTCTTCAAGTATCACAGAGAAAAAAGTCACAAATCAACATCGTCCCTTTGGAAAAATTATGTTATGGGTTTAATACCAACATTGTCCCCCATCTTGTTTGTTCATGAGACATAAATAAGCATAATTAATCATCAATAGATTTTTGTATATAATATCTAAATGTTGAATTTGTTAACTTTTATTTTGGTATTAAATGTATACTTTGATGTTATATATATATATATATATATATATATATATATATATATATATATATATATATATATATATATATATATATATATATATATATATATATATATATATATTTACAGAGCTTATTGATATATTTTCAAATAAATAAATAAAATAAAAATTAAAGCTGTATTTATTTCTCTAAATTTTGAAATTGTTTATAATAGCGAGGCTCATTTAAGAAAATGTTCATGAGAGAGAGAGAGAGAGAGAGAGAGAGAGAGAGAGAGAGAGAGAGAGAGAGACATTTCAACTCGTTCCCTCAAAAGCAAAATGAACTCAGTCGAAATCCTCTGAAAATCTCCTATTCTCACCTTCTTTATACAAACTGGACCAATCACAGCACGAAAACTAGTGACGTGCCACGAGCCTCCACCAATAAGACACCCGGGACTCATGTTTAATTAAGTACTATTCTCAGGTAACATAAACTAACATTTGTCAAGTTAATGTTTACATAAGAATGTTCTAAGGGGAAATAAACAAATAAACTCACTAATGAACTAAATAAAAGGTGTTTGTTTATGAGGACACTTAGACACACACACAGGAACACAGACACACACACACAGGAACACAGACACACTCACAGGAACACAGACACACACACACAGGAACACAGACACTCATACACACACACACAGGAACACAGACACTCATACACACACACACTTAGACACACACAGGAACACAGACACTCATACACACACACACAGGAACACAGACACTCATACACACACACACACACGTTTCAGACACTCATACACACACACCTTAGACACACACAGGAACACAGACACTCATACACACACACACAGGAACACAGACACTCATACACACACACACACACAGGAACACAGACACTCATACACACACACTGGCAGACACACACACACAGGAAACCAGACACTCATACACACACAGACACACACACAGGAACACAGGCTGCTCATGCACACACACACACACACACACTAAGACACACGCACAGGAACAGACACTCATACACACACACACACACACTAAGACACACGCACAGGAACACAGACACTCATACACACACACACAAACCAGACACTCATACACACACACACAGGAACACAGACACTCATACACACACTAAGACACACGCACAGGAACAGACACTCATACACACACACACACACACACACACACACAGGAACACAGACACTCATACACACACACACACACTAAGACACACGCACAGGAACAGACACTCATACACACACACACACACATAAGAACATAAGAATGGAGGAAACTGCAGCGGGCCTATTGGCCCATACTGGGCAGTCCCGTTTACACCCAACCCCTATTGCTCATATGAGCATCCAACCTATGTTTGAAGCAATTCAGCGTATTCGAGTTAATGATGATATTTGGTAACTTATTTCCATTCATCCACTACTCTGTTCAAACCAGTGTTTACCTATTTCACGCCTAAATCTAAATTTGTCTAATTTAAAACCATTGTTACGAGTTCGCTCCTGGTTGGATAATTTGAGTACCTTTGTTATGTCCCCTTTGTTTAGCCCTGCCTTCCACTTATACACCTCTATCAGGTCGCCCCTCGCTCTACGTCTCTCGAGGGAGTGCAAATTAAGATGCTTTAACCTGTCTCTATACTCAAGGAACACACACAGGAACACAGACACTCATACACACACACACACACTTAGACACACACACAGGAACACAGACACGCATACACACACACACACACACACACACACTAAGACACAAACACACAGACACTCACATATAATCACACAAAAACAACACACACACACACACACACACACACACACTTAGACACACACACACACACACACACAAACACTTAGACACAAACACAGACACACAAACACAAACATAAAGATACCCAAGACACAACCACACAGACATAAGAACATAAGAACATAAGAAAGTGGGATACTGCAGGAGGCCGACTGGCCCATACAGGGCAGATCCCTTTCACACCCATCCCAGCACTTCCATGTGCCTATCCAACTTCGTCTTGAAGCTCCCTAGCGTCCCCGATCCTACTATAGCACTCGGTAGCCTATTCCCACATATCCACAACTCTATTACCAAACCAGTGCTTGCCTATATCCTTTCTGAATCCAGAATTTATCTAATTTAAAAACCATTTTGATTTCTAGTTATTTCGTTATTACTGAGCTTCAGAGAACATCTTCCACATTTTGCTGTTATTACTTACCCACTTGTACACCTCTATCATATCTCCCCTAACTCTACGCCTCTCTAATGAATGTAAGCCTAAGCTTTTCAGTCTTTCTTCATATGGAAGGTTTCTAATTTTATGGATCATTTTTGTCATTCTTCTTTGTACTCTCTCCAAAGAATCTATGTCCATTCTATAATAAGGACACCAGAACTGAACCGCATAATCCATGTGTGGTCTCACTAATGCTAGGTAAAGTTTCAAGATAACGTCAGCAGTTCTGTTACTCACAGACCTAGATATGAACCCAAGAATCCTGTTTGCCTTGTTGCGAACGCTAATACATTGTTTTCTAGGTTTCAAGTCGTTGCAAACAAATACACCTAGATCTTTTTCACAAACTGAGTTTTCTATTTCCGTGTTACCTAGTTTATACTTAACGTTTGTATTCGTCTTCCCTATCTGCAGTACCTTGCATTTATCAGTATTAAAATTCATTTGCCAGTCTACTGACCACTCATGTAAGGTATCTAGATCTCTTTGAAGGTGTTCAAAGTCACTGTCTGAATTTATCACTCTCCCCATTTTGGTATCATCTGCAAATTTACTAATCCTACTAGTTATGCCTAAATCAAGATCATTAATGAATATAACAAACAGCAGAGGGCCTAATACAGATCCCTGGGGAACTCCGCTTTTGACCGCACCCCAGTCTGACTTTAATCCATTTATGCTGACTCTTTGTTTCCTACCAGTTAACCATGACCTAATCCATTTTAATCAGTTAACCAAGACCTAATCCATTTTAATCCATGACCTAATCCATTTTAATGTTTTTAATGTCATGTTTGGTGGGTTTGTGTTAGCTTAGGTTAAATTGGGTGGGGTTAGGTTAAGTTAGGTTAGGTGCGAATAACGTATTACCCAGCTGCATATATGAATAATTGCACCTAACCTAACCTAACCTAACTTATACATTAGAAATACTGATAAAAAAATCACAAATTATATCATAAAGTACAATAATTTTCCCGCGTTTTCCCTGTTGTCTTGAAATATCGGGAACCAATCAGACTTACAGCTTTACCTCTTATTTGACCTGACCTTCTGTTATTATCAGGTGCTTCGAAAGGTCAAAGGAGTGAGTAGGCTTTAGTTAATGTAATAAGTTAGGTAGACGTGAAGGTCAACATGGCGTGAGGAACAGCTGGATACACGTGAAGAAATTAATGTCACTTAGGTAATTATTACAATACCAAGAAAACAACCACACACAGCCCCCTCCCCCCACATGCATTTACTGTTCCAGCCACTCACAGCCATTACAAATGTTTTCTAGTGTGTGATTGGTTATTGCAAAGCCCTCTCAGTTTTTCCTCCCAGTAAAAACAAGATCAATACAAATTACATCAATTTTTTTCCCTGTTGATACAAAGCCAATTGACATTTTTTTTCTCCATAGTATGAACAACGGCAACTATTAATTGCTGACAGTTTCTCTTCCCAGTACATGTATGAATGATAATCCACTTTCGATTCCCAGTATGGACTACGACACCATAACGCTATATTAATAAAAAACAGACAGCCAGCCAGCCAGACAGACAGATAGACAGACATGCAAACAGACAGACAGACAGAAAGACAGCCAGCCAGACAGACAGATAGACAGACATGCAAACAGACAGACAGACAGACAGAAAGACAGATAGACAGACATGCAAACAGAAAGACAGAAAGACAGATAGACAGACATGCAAACAGACAGACAGAAAGACAGATAGACAGACATGCAAACAGACAGACAGACATGCAAACAGAAAGACAGATAGACAGACATGAAAACAGACAGACAGAAAGACAGATAGACAGACATGCAAGCAAGAAGACGAATGAACAGACATGTAAACAGACAGACAGAAAGACAGATGAACAGACATGCAAACAGAAGACAGATAGACAGACATGTAAAACAGACAGACAGAAAGACAGATAGACAGACATGCAAACAGAAAGACAGATAGACAGACATGTAAACAGACAGACAGAAAGACAGATAGACAGACATGCAAACAGAAAGACAGATAGACAGACATGTAAACAGACAGACAGACAGACAGACAGACATGTAAACAGACAGACGCATTACTGAGGAACAAGGACACGCTACGTAAGCGAATAAATTACTGAATGAAAGAAAACAAATTGAACGATGGAAAGAAATTATTGAATGAAGATTATTATTATGTTTACTTCACCTGATGAGACGGGGTCAAGTAAACAACTAAACAAACAAACAAACAAAAACAAGCAATACAATAAGATAACCACACACACACACACAAACAAACACACACACACACACAAACACACACACACACACACGCACACATCCGGACGGGAATACCACTCAGATGAGGGAGGAGGAGCCGACAGCCCCGACAGGCGCCACTATATAAGACCAAGTTACCTGTATCAGTCCCACAGTCACACGCAGGACTTACAACCACAACAACGCCAAGACCAACCACGTGATAACCTCAAGTCTAACCACGTGATAACCTCAAGTCTAACCACGTCACCATAACAAGTCCAACGTCCCGACCTCAACGTCTTAAGTCTAGCTAAGCCACATAGAAAAAGTCCGGTTAGATGTATGGAATGAAGCTGTCAGTAGTGGTGATGGTGTTGGCGGCTGTCGCTAGGGAGTCAGAGGCTGCTGTCTTCGGTGAGGGTAAGTTATCTAGCCTTTGTTGATGATAGATAGATAAATGGAT